TTAGACCTTGTTTGATTCTTTTTTCTTTCTTTTTTCAACCGCACATTTTTAAATAAAATAATATTACATTCAAATTCAAAATTTTTCCTTATTTTTAATCACATATTTTCCATCGAATCACTATTCCAAAAGGCACTTTTTGCAAAAAAAAAGGGAATCAAACGAAACTCTTAATATTTTATTGCTGACAATAGTCGACGATCCACGGCCGCCCGTGCTGGTTCAAAATCCTGGGTCCGTCAATGCCTTGCAACCAAAGCTAATGACCCAATTATTTATTATTCTTTCATAGAAGCCTCCAACATTAATTTATATAAATTATGCAATAAATATTAAAATAAAAAATTTATGAACCATTGACACAAAAGTATGAACTCTCTCAAAATCCAAACTTTCTTTCTCCTCACTTTTTTCAAACTTCGTAAGAATCCTACTTTTTCTCTGGCTTTCTTCTTTCCTCATAGTTGTAATATATATCTATTTCGAAAAATATGACACTGCTAATTTCTTTATATTTATAATTAAGTTGTTTATAAATATTTTTGACTTGTACTCTTAGCCCATGTTTAATTTAAATAAAAAAAATTAATAAAAATTTAAATCAAAGATAACTTTTAATTTTAACTCACAATACAACGTTTTATTAACTTTCCAATAATACGTTTCATCAATTTTTATCGAAATCTGATGTTCAACAAGACCAAGCTTTAAAAAAACATTTGAATGTGTTTTTGATGCGTCGAATTGAAATTAAGTTAAAATCAATAATTAACTTAATCGCATATTTTATTAAAATTACAATTTTTATTAATTTTTTAAATACACATTTTTTAGATGCTTTAAAAATATGATCTTGAACAAATGTTCCGTTTTTGTGCAATTATACAAGGGATTTTCTCTCGTTACTGAGCAACCAATGAAAATTTTCCCAATCAAAGTAGCGGTAGAGCAACCAAAGCCCGCTGAAAACGGAGCTCCCCTTACATATCTCAGTACACATGGAGATGGAAAGAGAGAAAATATTTCTACTTTGTGTGAATCTGATTGCCCATTTCGGATAAGAGAAGATTTGGTAGAAATCTTCTTTTATCTGTTAATTGAGAGGGGGAATTTTTCAATTTTTTTTCCTGTGAAGTGCGAGGAATTAATAAATGTGGTGATCCATCATATTTCGT